TGTTATTTGGGCAGCTACATCTCACCCGGTGGAGGCATCACGGATGAAGTGTCTGCTCGCACACAGAAGGCTCGGTTGGCGACATCCGGCCGTCTGTGAAGGGTCGTGTGTATGCTGCAGTAGTTCGACCAGTTCTGCTATATGTAGTAGAAACTTGGTCATTAAGGAAACAGGATAAATATAGACTATCGGTGTTTGAACACCGCTGTCTATGTCGTATCGCACGAGTCTGGCGGGGAAACCGGACAAGTAATGCTGAGGTCAGGCGAAAAGTTTTAGGTAACCGCTGGAGAAAGTGGTCGACCTCCATAGATAACGTTGGTTGGGGCATGTTTCACGCATGTCACCAGATAGGTTGCCACGGCGAGCGATGTTCGCCGAGGTAGGAGGAGTGGAAAAAAAATCAAGCGTGGTCAATCTAAGACTTGGCATGAGGGTATGAAAACCCTGACCAGGAGTCTGGGTCACATAGGTCCTGTTAGGCTACCTGGATGGGGACCTCGGGATAATCCTACCTGATGATTAAAGACACTGAGTGATATGGCTGTGTCGTAAACAGTGGCGTTCATGTATTTTGTCAATTTCTCTGCAACATTACTCTACGGAAATTCTAAATTTTCTATTTCATCTTAATTTCAACCTTTCCTGTCTTTCACTTTCTGTCCATCCAAATGGGCAGTCAAAAGACAGGAACCAAAACCGGCGCACGAAAGGGCATGATAAATGGGTGTACAAACTGAACAGAAATGAACCTCGAGGCGAATCACTGAGCGTTCCCATTTTCGAGAGATGATCTCGCAACGATTGCGAAAACCACTGCGGGATCAGTTTCATCTCGATTGTCATCAAAGTGCTAGCCTCGGGCATACTTTGACGTCTGACTCCTTCAAGAGAGATCAACATTCGTGAACAGCAAGTCGGATTCCGGCCTGGTCGCGGATGTATTGATCAAATTTTTACGTTTCGCCAGGTCCTTGAGCTGCATCATACCCACCGTCAGCCAACGATCGCAGTGTTCCTTGAGCTGCATCATACCCACCGCCAGCCAACGATCGCAGTGTTCCTTGCCCTGAAAAGAGCCTTTGACTTAGTTGATCGTGAAGCTCTGATGGGGCTCCGTTCTTCGAAGAGGAATGCCCCTGAAGTAAGTTTACTTACTGAGGTCACTGTACTCGTCTACCTCTGGCCGTGTAAGGGTCTATGATGAACTAAGTAGGCCATTCGTCACCAGTAGCGGCGTTTGTCAAGGTTAGCCTATTTCGTCTTTCCTGTTCAATTTCGTCGTAAACGATATACTGGAGAACCCACTAAGGGGACTTCAACATGTAGGAATTTAATGGGCAGCTCTGGAAAGGCTTTGTGGTTTGGAATACGCCGATGACGTCGTCTGTCTATTCGAATGTATAGAGGACGCGCAAAGCGAACTTGATAGACTAACAAGTGCGGTTGCCACATTCGGTATGCGCTTGGCACCTTCAAAGTGCAAAGTGATGCTACAGGACTGCGTTTGCCTACTCCCGCTCTAAAACTAAATGGCCAGGAATTAGTTACGATGGATTGCTCTCTTACTTAGGTAGTTGCAATGACAGTAGCGCAGCAAAGGAGATAATCGCACGTGTTTCCAAGACTCGAGCAGCATACGCAAGACTGAAACACCTTTGGCGTAGACACTACGTTTCACTGAAGTTGAAAGGTCATGTATATTGTCCTAGCGTTCCTTCAGTCCTGCTTTATGGTTGTGAGACCTTAAATTTGCGAGCAGAATATATCCATCGATTAGAGGGTTTTGATTATCGGTGTTTACGCAGTTTAGCCCACGTTGGATGGAACGAACGGGCTAGTAATGTGGAGGTAAGCCATCGACTGTTTGCGAGTCTATCAGGGATACACCTGCTAGCGCACCGAATTCAGATTAGTAGACTTCGCTGGCCAGGGCACGTATTGCGCATACCCAGCCATCATCTGCCGCACCGCGCTTCATTCGCTGTATCTAATCCAGGCTGGAGGAACCCGCGTGGAGGTCAACAGATGACGCGGAGACGATGCATGAAAAAATGCACAGCCATTAGGTAGAGTAGGTGTGTCTCGTCTTTCAGATTGGGGTCCGAAAGACTCCCCAAATGGTTGGTTGGAGATATTGAAGGGTATAGCAGCGAACCGTTTCTTATCAGACCAGAATGCTTGAAACGGTATGCATGCAGTTTGATTGTGCACTGTGTTGACCATAGTGGTCCACCTTCTCCCTCCTTCAAAGTAGGTTCAATCCTTGCTCCCTTTAAATTTTACCACTAATCTTGTTTGCCTTGGGAGTTTGATAGCGATCGGTAAGGTTCGCTTCACTGTTACGCTGTACGATGATGATGATGAGATGTAAAACCAGCCTGGTTCTCATGCGTGCACACTCCACGTGCAGCTGACAATCGACGGAGTATGATTTTAACGAGGAGTTTAGAGGCAATATTCATTTTAGTTCAGTTTTTCAACCATTAACCATGCACTTCCGTGCGTCGGTTTTGGCTGCTGTTTTTTGGTGCCCCGGTTGGATAAAAGAGCAGAATGAAAATTGGAATGTTGAAAGCAAATTCAAGCAGAACATAGTGAATTCATAAAGAATAGGGATAGGGGAATAATGAGTGGATGCACGATCGCCGCAGTTGACGACACCCAGCCATATCGCGCAGTGTCTCTAACCATCGGTGACCATCATCCTGAGGTCCCCAGCCAGGGAGCCTAACGGGGCTTACGTTGGGTTAGGGTTTTCATACCCTCGTTCCAGGTCTTAGTTTGACCACCCTTGATCTTTTTCCACCCGCTACTTGCTTCGGCAAACCGCTTGACGTGGAAAATTATCTAGTGACATACGTAACACATGCCTCAACCAACGTAATCTATGCAGGTCGATCACTTTCTCCAGAGGAAGACAGCGAATGACTAAAACTCTACGCCTAACCTTAGCATTGCTCATACGGTTACCTTATCAGAGTCGTGCAATGCGACGTAGACAGCGGTGTTCGAACACCAACAGTTCATGAAAACAGAAACAAATCGTTTGAATATGGTGGCACAATAGAGTAAAAAATTAAAGGGAACTTTGTGAAAAGCAGTATCATCAATCAATCAGGAACATCAACGAATAATAAGTAACTTCTTTCAAGCTTTGCAGTTTCAGTCACTAATGGATACAAATGACCACCAACACTGGTTAGGATAGAAACATTCAAACGTCTAAAATCTCTTTATTTGTTGTTTTTATTGTTGTTGATCATACCTGATCGTCGTGATACAACAAAAGGCACTGAAGCACGTTATACCAGATATGATGCTAAGCATAGGCGAAACAAACTCAACTTTATATATGATACCACTGTATTGAAAGTTATTACATCTCGATTAGTGGACAACGTCATTACGGTTTCATCTAACTGCAGCAAGAAGGCTGAAAGCTTTTTGTCACATATCACTTGCGGACAAGCGCCATTCGTGCCAATTCCTTCAGGGAGAGAGAGCGAGTAGGAAGAAGTTCGTACTTGCCACGTCTTTTAAAGCATGGAAACAAGTGGAAAAAGATGCCATGTAGAGGTATTGTCGTACTTTAAACGCCTAAGCGCAACCTGAGTACAAAAACAGAGCTTCTAAAAGTAAGTAAACAAATATCGTCTTGACAACTACAAAGATGGAATTAACGCGCAGTGGAACATGCATTCACTCTCAATGAACCAAATATGTACAATAACCTAAAAGAAACATTGCATTCATGAAAATGAGAACATCGCGGATGGTGTGCGAAAGGAGAAAAGAAAAAACATTCAACGGTCGGCAAACACACAGGGTCGATCGTTTGGGAGAAATGTTGCCGGAGCTCTCTGCAGATGGGTGATTTCAGTACGAAAGCGCACACATATGGTATGGTCAGTTAGAAATGTCTATTGCGCAACAGACACACACGAATAAGTCAAATGCACGTGAATGCACATTCATTGCCGTGGCATTTCGTACGTTCAGTTTCTTTTTTCTAACCTTAACAACATCTGTCCGAATATCGATCAGATAGAACGACCTGACTAGGATTCCACAGGGTCATTCTTCATCCTGAAACGACTAGAGTTCCACCCCTCAAACCACAACAGATTCGCGCAATACTCTCACGTGGTATCAATTACCACCAATTACACGATCCATGTTTATTTACATTTCCCAATCTTAGAGAGAATGTCATTGAACAAGACCGGTGTCAGCTCCTCCGGCCTCTGGGAAATAGCATAAATTACAACGACAGCCACTGAAACCACCTAACTCAATATGGTGCCCAGAGAAAATTTTGCTCAGAAGCAGACCTCTAAAAGCATCAGTATGATCAGACATGGGTGTCCAGCGTTGCGGCTGGTCGTCCTTCCCGTGCACTTCAGAAAATCCTTCCATACAACCAAGCGTCTCAAATAGCCTCTACTGAGGAAGCCCTGCTTACTACCTTCCTGCGGCGGAGGTGTTTTCCCACCAAATGGAGAGGACGAAAAGCAGATATCCGATTCTATAACCGAGTTGGTGGATCACTGGCAGTTCACCTAGGGGAGTTGGCCAAAAACCCTGATTCAAAACCAACCATGAGGAGGCGTATGAACCACACACAGTCTCTGGTTGTAGCTGTGGTCACCCAATCGATTGGGCACCTTGGACGTTTGTCCCCGTCCAAAGAGCGTATGATCCGATGAACTGGACACCGGATCCCAATGAATTGCCGTTTTCGCACACCGCCCCGCTGTCTTGCGGGTCAGCCTTTCGCTAGCCAAAGGCTCCGGTTGTGGATTCCTCAAAAAAATTCCTCTGTCTTGGCCTGGGCAACCTGGCAGTATTCTGCCCACATGCAAATCATGGAACATTTTTCTGTTCTTCGTAAAGACTATTGTACCATAGTATAGCAGTTCTTTGGACGGAATCGCATTGTGTGATCCAATTGGTAACCAATCCACAATAGACGTGATCGATGGGCAATAGGAAAAGAGGAGCAACAACTCACAGAAATCGCTGGCTTTGGCCTGAGAAAGATCTTTGTAGAACTCGGTTCGATGCGCTTTCTTCAGTCCGGTACATAATCCAAAATCGCTTAGCTTGATATGTCCCTAAGGGGAGATACAAAATGACAAAAGAACATAAACAGAAATGAAACGATTTAGAGAGAGAGAGAGCATCATCGAAAGATCGAAAATGAGTCTGGCATGCGATGGACAGCACATGAGGCGTCATAAACACTGAGTTCGCATGACGATCTTCCACTAAATTATCAACGAACAAATATTAAACGAAAAGCACTAATGGGGGAAGGACATACGTAGACCTTCGTTTAAATCTGATTCGATTAGGAGGGCACAAAAATGGTCCACAACACGTGATCTGTATGGTTGTATGATTTCGGTACTTGAAAAAAATGACCTGAAACAAAAAGGAACGTAAAGTACAACTCCCACATTTTTTTCAAATTGCGCACGCCACATCAGGTCAACACGACAGTCTGATTGTTGCACTGTTATCAAAGGAGAGAAACGCGCAGAACGGTGATGGGAGGCTGAAGCGCGCGCGTGTGCGAGAGAGAGAAAAGAATCACCCGCCCCAGCCGGGATGACCGATTTTATTCCTGCAATTAGTTGATTGCAAAAACAAAACAGCACGATTTTGTGCGAGATACGTTTATGTGATAATCAGGTGCGGAATTACTGGGTGAGAACAATCAATGCAACTGGGGTTCGTCAGAATGATTGAGGGCAAAATAAAAACGAGATGGGTGGAAGGATCAAACCAAATTGGAACTTGGATCCGGGAAGTAAATGAATAGATAAATACAGGAGGAACTTGCAAAAACATTAGCACCGATCAAGAAAGAACGAGAGAAAAAAACACGTTCATTTAGCACAGGATAGTATATGGATTTCTCTTGGCATAAATGTTGACATTCGCTAAGAGATTTAAGTGTTCTGTTCATGGTCCAGACGCGAGAAGCAATCGGAGAGCAAAATACGAGAACGGACAAAATCAAGCGAAGTGCGTGCGTGCGTGCGTGTTCCACCCCCGACAAACGAAACTAGTAGGACCACATAGTACCACCGGTCGAGTGAGACCTCGGAAACCTTAAATCCGCGCGTCGAGGCGGACCGGTGTTAAAACTGATTCCATGTCTAGGTCAAATGACACCGATCAAAACCGGTGAGTTGAACAAGGTCATTCAGTTCACATCTGATGCGGACGCGTGGCCCGGAGCAAACTTGTTCGACGTCGGTACGGTGAAAACGTACAGTAGCAGATAGAGATAATGATCTTTTCAAATTGTAAATGGTTACAAATGATGCTTTGAATGGAACACCGGTGGTAGACTTCAGTACATTGTGAACTATTGTACTTCCACCGATGGAGCTGAGACGTGACAAACATGAACAGAACACTACCAATCCCACACGGACTATCGGTGAAAAGATGGAACCTCGCGCTACGATGAACGATTTCACATCATTGTGATGCAATGCCCAGCGAGTTGAGCGCATGTGCAATAGAAAAGGGTCACTGTATTCCACTGAAGCAACACTGGCAAGCGCATTGCTCGTAATGGAGTAGCACAAAAAACACTCCGAAACTGGAGAAGTGCAATTCAAGAAGCTTCCTCACAAATGAACCGAGAGAGACAGAGAGAGAGAGAGAGGAAGACGCGACGGCAGAATATGACCCCATACTCCCAACCCCACGCCGGTCCCCGAATGAAGAGCGCAAACCGGCTGATGCCTCATTACGTATTCATCCAAGGGTACAGTGGTCACAATGAAGTTCGCCGCGCGTAAACCTATGGTGGATACCGCACACGAGAGACGAACCATGCCGCTCTTGGTCGTAAGCACGTGACATGGATGCGCGTAGGTAAGGAATAACGAGCGAATATAGGCAATGGTGTTCACAAAAGCACATGTTCACACACACACACACACCGAAAAAATGAAGAGATAAAAATGAGCGCAGTTATTTCCATTGATTAAGATAAAACGGACGATATATGAACGCAAAGATGAAGATTATCATCATCGTTATTATAATGATCATTTAACGGTCCGCATGAATGTTTTCTCAACGGTTCAAAAATGTGAAATGTGTCATCGATCATAACCGACGAACAATTACGAATTTCTAGTGCCAAGTCCCACAGGGGTAGCGCGTGGAGATCACTGGGATAAGGTTCCCGAAAAACGGTTCTTTCGAAAAGTAGGAGAGTATTGACAGTTAGTTTTCATTTATTTCGATCGAGATCGGCCATGCGACGAGTGAACAAACCAACCGGGTCAACTTCGCCAATGCAATTCGTGGTAAACAACAACCGGTGATAGGAATCATCACAATCCTGGTATGCCAACTCCGGTACTGGTACGGAGGTCATAACGGCAAATCGGAACGAGCGACAAGAAGTCACAGTTGTGTTGAGGCAAAGGATGGTCCTGGTGAATCACACACAGAGGTTGCTCTATGATCACTTATGTCATGCGGTGTCTCNTTCGATCATCCGTAAATGTGGACCCCGCGGTAGTTATGACACACCTGTCTGGATCCCAGAGAAACAATTAACTTTCTGGTTACCTGTTGAGAACAGGGATAATCGACAGCAACGACAGTCACTAGCGTGTTCGAAATTTGCCCGCAATGACAGACACTCCTAATTGGTATCTCTTCTTACAGTGATCACAGAAGCTTAGTTCACAGCACAACCGAATGCGGAGTTCGAT